TCCTTAAAAAAACAAATAAATTGTGGAGTGTCTTTAGTAATAAAATGGACATTCTGAAAGAATAATTCTGTTATTCAGTCATGCATGTCTTTATTTAAATAAAAGTAGATGCTTTTGTCTTGATTTTTTGCATTTTTTTTTAACAAAAATCAGTTTACCACAAAAAAGTCCATGGTTATCATGAAATAAGACTATATGTAAATAAAGAAGAGAACCTGTGTTCAAATATTTCTAAACCTTGTACTAAGGAATGAATCTGTGTTTATTAAAATAATATACATAATAACATTAAGTTCTAGATATTTTATTAGTTTTAATTCAGAATTGGGTCTAGAATTTTAGATTTAGATACATGCATGAGTAAATTCTCAGGTAGGCCTTAAATTTGCATCAGAAAACATTCTTGTGAAAATATATATATACAGTGAATGCAGCCATATCCTATTAATAAATAGTAGTTTGTTAGGTAGATAATAAGCCAAGTTTTCTTATTGCTTTAAATCCCAGGCTAACTCTGGGAATCCTGTTAGAACTTTTCATGTAAAAGCTACCTTCAGTGCTGATTTTTATAGTTTCAGAAAACTGACTTTTGAGTAAGAACTTTGGACTGATTCCTTAAAACCCAAGTGCTATAAAGTGCAATGGAAGATGAGGAAGGGTTGTGATGTCACAGCAAGCCAGATGTTTAGATCTCTCAAAGACCTGTCCTGCAAACAGGTAGAGAGCCACCTGAGACCTGCTGTTCAAGAGGCCTGAAGTTGGTCATCACATCCTGTTTTCTGTGTTTTTTTTTTAAAGAACTGTAATAAACATGCATAGTGAATGATTCCTGAAAAGACTTTGCCCAGTCTTTTTAATATTTAAGATTTGTCACTAGTGAACCTTCCCAGTGGTCATTCTTGAGGATTTATATTGTCTACTTCCAAAAAACATAATAGAGTTGATTTTAGAATACAGCTGCAATTGGTAAGTAAATGTCAGTTCATAATCAAGATTTTTCACAGAGGCTACTGTGAGTTATGCCCAGTAACTCACTGGTTATTTAGCACTTTGGAGCAGGGGTGGGGGTTTATTATCTGATGAAAAAAAAAAGTAGGAAAATTATAGCTACTTATATTACAGGCACGTGCTATTGTTTAATGTATTCCTTTGCATTAATAAAGAGGCATAAATCCATTCGAAGACCCTAAATGCCCCTGTGGTGCTTTTTTCAAATATTGGCCTTGGAGCTATTGGAGAAGATGTGCACCCTGGGGGCCAGCATTATGAGTCATAGACTCTCAGTGGGGTTTTCCTTGTCATTTTTGACCTCACTTGAAAAACTGAGCCAAAGTTGATTCTTTCTTAAGCCTTCATCAGGAACTCGCACTATTTATTTTTCTAGGAGAGGAGATGATGCATAAAATAAATTCTTATCAACTATCTAATCCTTCCTTTACCAAAGTAATTAGATTTTTTTTTTCTTCCCAACCTTTTTTATTTTTATTCCTTCCTCAATTAAAGGTCTTTTTCATTTGCCATCTGGTGCATTCATGGACGTTTTCTTTTTTTCAAGTTATGTCTTGGGGATGCTGTCCTGTGACATGCACATGCACATGTACATGTCGTGGATTAGCTGGAAATTAGTTAGTTAAAGAAAGCCCTGCAATATGGCATGTGTGCCAACAGTTGGGTGGCAATAGCAGGCCTGGTGGGGTAGAGGGGCAATTTCTGATTTCATTGTTTCTTGTTCCCTGCTTCTTTAATGTTTCCTTTAGAAAGCCTTGAAGTTTATTTCTTCCTTTAAAATGTGAATTTATATTGAACTTAGTATAAGCTTTTTATCTTGGGGTGGATACAGCTGCATTGAGCTATCTGGAGACTCTCCAACTCTCTCCTGTACTAAATATCTGGCATCTAGTAATCATCCTTCTTTACTAAATCTCGTTAGCAGAGGCTCCATCAGCAGTGGCAGAAGTACCTAAGGCAGAAAGAGAAGGCTGTGCCAGTGTTCTGCTTTGACTTAATTCAGGGGCACATTTAAGTAAATTAAAGTGGTCAGGTGATATGTCCCTATGGTGAATTGAGTTTATATTCTCTACTTTGAGTAATTATTTAATATGGCTTCATGCTGTTAGGTTATGTTTGTGCATGCACATTTAGCAGAGAAAAACACCAATAGGGAATGGTTTTAAGCACCAGTAAATTATTTGGGGGCAAACATTATCCCTAATTACTTTTCTACCTGGAAGCTTATGACTTATGAGAAAAGTCATAAAGAAACTGAAATAGGAGGCTCTGGGGTAATAGTGTAAGCATTCTAAGTGGTAAAACCTTCAACAGCTTTGTAATAAAGATTCCTCATTTTGTGATGAAGTTGCTTAATGAAGGAAGTCATGTATTTCATATAAAGTACAGCGTTTCCAAGGGTTTAAGGATTTTGCATTATTTTTTTGCTGTAAAATCATAGAGCATAAGTTTGATACCCTAGTCACTCAAAGCTTTTGAGTTCTGGCTCTGTCACTTACCAAGAGTGATGTGAGCCTCATTTTCTCATCAGTAAAATAGGGATTATAAGATCAACCTCAGAGGTGTTCCGGGCTGAATGTGATAACAGGTGGAAAGCGAGGAGTGTGTAGTGGAAGGTCAGTCTGCTTCCCCTTTGTACCTTTCCTTTTAGACACAGTATTATGCTTCATATTTGGATATGGTAGTCATCACTGATTACAATCAGCGCATGTGGTTCAAGAAGTGCATTTGGCCAACATTCCTTTTCACAGCATGCACAAGGTAATGTTGTTCTTTAACTCAAGGTTGTTCTCTGCTGAATCTTAACAGCTACTGCCACTTCGTTCCCCCCATTGCCCATTATCATCTGTTCACAAGTGCTGCGTGTTAGGCTGTAGCATGTTATAGCTGCTTTTTGAAGGCATTATTTGATGTCTGGGAATATCACTTTGCTTTTGGAATGTGGCTGTATAGGTGTTGCTGGTTGTCATCATAATGAAGGTGTCACTGTTGGATGGAAGAGCAGGAGGCTTGCAAGATGCTCAGTGCTTGTGAGTGGCAGCACAGTTCTTAGGGCTGTGGGAAGAGCCAGGGCTTCCTGGTCTGTCTACCTCCCCCACTTCACCTTCTCCTTACTCATAAGCACCCTGTCATCTCACTTTGAAAAGAGCGGATGCTGTTGGTTGGGTGGCATGAGCTGGAAACATATGTTCCTCCTATAAGAAAAGAGAAAGAAAGCCTTCACATTGGCAGTCAGTGCTGGGCCCATTTCCTTCATCATTCCTGGCACGTAGTGAGTGAGCACTTGAAGGAATATGTGCATGAATGGATGGACTCAACTGTAGTATTCGTTTATATTTTTCATGTAGTTGAGTTACTTTCTTCTAGATTTGGGGAATTTTCTATAATGATTAGTTGTTCTAAAAACTCTCCTACTCTTCTAAAACTCTCCTTGTAAAACTTTCCTACTCTTAGGACCTAGTAGAAGCTTGAACACTTAGTAAGTTAAAGCACAGCGCATGTTTATCCTGATTCCATCTTCCGTTCTTCGTATCAGTGTTTACTTAGTAATTGAAACTTTCATTTCTCTGGAGATGATCAATATGTTCTCCATCTATGATTTGAGCGTGTGGGCAGTTTTCCATATCATGTGAGAGGTAGAGATGAAAATAAAAATTTCACAGCATCTTGTTCCTAATAATTTTTGTGTTTATATATTTTTGTTCTTTTTTCAGTTGGCTTGATTTTATGTTTCCTTACAACCCATCTCTCTCTCTCTCTCTCTCTTTTTTTTTTTTTTGTGGTGCTGGGGAGTGAACCCAGAGCCTTTTGCATACTGGGCGAGCACTCTACCAGCTGAGCTATATCCCCAGCCCCCATCTCTTTCTTCTGACAAACAACCTAACAGATTTGGAATACCCCGAACTTCTCTTTCATCGAATCCACTAACTCCACCTAGGCTCCTTCCTCAAATATTGGTGTGCATTCTAGAAATATGAATAAACATCTTCAGCCATCATCCCCAGAGAGATCGTTCATCATTCTCACCTGTATACCCCCTCCTTTTATATTGCGTTAGATTTCAACCTGATAGGGAATCACATGCCTGTTCTCTAAAATTAGTGTTCAGTAATGAAATTACTGATTTGATATTTTATTGCTAAAATTGGCCTTTCCTAGAGTCCAGACCTCTTTTGTATCACTGGCAAGGTTAGGTAAGCAAGGTTCTGGGCTGGAATATTCTCTAATACTGTACCATCTGCAATACACTATTCGACGACTCCTTTTGTTTCTGGTTTCTTTTTTTTTACTGTAAAATCTGAAAATTTGATAAGACCTTAAATTTGTGAAATTAAAAAAGTCTGTAATTAATAAAAACATATCACCAACATCAAATTCCAAGATTTCAAGATATCCAGGAAAATCTAGTTTACTTCTCACAGGTAGCAGGCAATGTGGATATGTAGTACAGGCTGCTCTAGGGTCCAATGGCCTCATTTCAAGTCTTGGTTCTACCAGTTACCAAATGAGTTACTTAAAATTGGGCTATCAGCTATAAAATATCTCATAAAGTAGGAGAATTCAGTGAGATAAAGTCATACTACTCCATGATACATACATATCATGTATCATGTGAAGCTCTTAGCATAATGAGATGTTAAAATTTATTTTTATCATTATAATTAAGTGGACTCAATTGAATAGCTTCATGTGTTACACTTTGAAGAATTAAGTATCATTAAAAAAGAAAATTTTAGTATCTCAGTAGCTTGTTGAATTTAACTTACTTTGCATATTCACTGTTTAAAAAGAACCAAGTGTGTTTAATTTGGTGATTTTGGTAGAACTGTGCAACTTTCTAAAAGTAGAATTGAAAAAATAATTTCTTTTACTATTTTGTTTCATTGATAGAAAATAGGAGGTTAAGAAGAAGGTGAAAGGGAGAAAAGAAGTACGGTGGATTTAAAAGCAAAATGAATTTTATAAACATGAGTTAATTCTTTACTTTTTAGATCTTTTAGAGAAATCTCGGGTCGTTAAGCAGCCAAGAGGTGAAAGAAACTTCCATGTGTTCTATCAGCTGCTCTCTGGTGCCTCTGAAGAGCTCCTTCGTAAGTCTGTGTCTACTGTTTTATAATTTTTAGTGTTACAGCTGATTATACACATTCTTACAGTTTAGATACAGTTTAGATGTTTTCCAAAGCATTCTCCTTAAAATGCGTAACATACACTTCTCTCCTTCCTTCTTGAAGTTTTTCCATGACTCTGGTGGAAGTGGAGAACATGGTGTGCCTGCTTGTGCTCTGCATTTGTCTCATATCTCATACCTCACCAGGGACTCAGCCATACATCTCAGATGGCTTATAAAAGCCTGATGTCGAGGAGAGGGGCTAACCACAACTATAAAAAATAAAATAGAAGAATGTAAAATTTCACCTGGGGAGAACAGTAAATGAAAACAATTATATAAAAGCAAATTGCTCAGTGAGAATTTAAAAATTGTGGGCAGTTGATACAAGAGATTAACAACCTGACCCTCAGATATTTTAGAAAATGAATGTAAGTCCCACAAGGACAGTATCCAGCAGGCAATAGCTAATTGATAAAAATATTGAACAAGTAGTTGGAACGAGAAGAGCTATAAGAAGCCAACCACACCTGGAGAGAAAAATCCATTCACAGCACAATTTTTCATAACTCTGATTATAAAATGTGTTCTTGCCAAATTATACCACTATAAATGAGCTCTCTCTTTTTTTTTTTTGCATTACAATTCTTAATACACCTTTATACCACAATTTATCAAATCTCTGTTTGTATATAAGGTATGTTGACACCAAATTCACATCTTCATACATGAATTTTTTTATAATGATGACCATCTCCTTCCCCTATCCTTGCTATTGTCCTTCTCCCTCCCTTTCCCTTCTACCCTATTTATTTATTTATTAACTAGAAATAACCCAAATATGCAGTGGTGAATGAATTCCTAGATGGGCATCATATTTTATCATGGAGTAGTATGTTGAAGACATTTTATGTTATAAAGATATAGAAAGGGACTTACTCAGTAAGAATCAGTGTAAAAAGGCAGAGTTTGAATATGTGCAATGGTGATAAAGGAGGTTTTACAGAAATGCTGTTATTGGTATTGGATATTAACTTTTGTTCTGTTGATTTAGTGCATAATATGAAAGTCATATTCTCTGAAGGGTTAAAAATGAAATACTTACGCCACTTAGATTTGTTCAACTTACTGATTTGTATGTGTGACTCAATAGATAAACTTAAGCTTGAGCGGGATTTCAGCAGATACAACTACCTGAGTCTGGACTCTGCCAAAGTTAATGGAGTGGATGATGCAGCCAATTTCAGAACTGTTAGGGTAAGATGGAATGATTTTATTACACTTAAAAATGGCTAGTGCTTAATTGCTCCGTCCGAACTGGTGACAATCCTGAGTTTTCCTTTAAGTATGACTCATGCTCCCTAAGGTTTTAGAATTATTCAAGAATGTGTTACATTATTATTAGTTTGGGTTTTCAATACTCAAGAATCATACCAGGTTATATAGGCCACACTTCACCTTAGCAAGCTATTTTACCATTTATCAAAAGGAGCTTGCATATGTTATCCTGGAACTTGAGTCTTGTAATATTATAGTTAAATTCCAAATGTTTTTATAGGCAGAGTTTTATAGCCAAAGTTAATTTCCAAGTGTGAAAACTGCCCTTGGATACTATTAAATCAGAACTGGTTTTGAGACAGAAAATCTTCGTTTTGCTCAGTTTTAGAAATGATTAGCATTCCACATTCATTAGAAAAGAAATGATTTTACATACTACTCTTATTTTCTGTCTTTATGTGGCACATACTGTCAGAATTACTCCTATTATGATCTGATGTGGTAACCAAGATTTGCTTCCAAACAAGACAGCTGGGGTTGTAGGGAGGACAGGGAGTAGGTCAAATTGTAGATTAAACAGGATTGGCATCAACTAATCCTTGTGGATGAATGAAAAGGACATGGGGATTCTTTCTCTGTTCTCTCTACTTTTGTGTGTGTTTGAAATTTTCGTAACATAAAAATGTATATTACTCCCATTGCCATATAGCCTAGTTGTACTCATCATCATCATCATCATTATCATCATCATCATCATCATAATGATGCCAGCTGTTCTTAAAAAGGAAACAGATCTCAGAGTATACCACTTTTTAAAACTGTGCAAACATCCTTACATGGAAGCAGTAGTCGTTTATGTCTCCTGGGCATGATTTTTGTTCAAGACTTCAGTCCAAGGCCAGTTCTGAAATCACTCTGCCTGGCACATAGTTGGCACTCTATATAAATTAAGAATGAATGAGTATTCCTTGTACCCATCCTGTCTTGGATGAGGCTTCTACCTTTGCAAACCACAGTTTTTCTCACATGTAAAATAAATGAGGGGTTTTCTTTGTTGAAGGTTGTAGGAGCTTCTTGTTTGGTTTTGTTATAGTAGCAGAACCCCATGTAAAATAGACAGATGTAGAAACCAAGTTGCAGCAGTTGAAGTGGGGACAGGGACCCAAGATTCTGGCAGCTTCTTCTGTCTTGCTGTCTGCATCCTCCCTTCCCTCATCTGCCACGGCATGAAAGGTACCCCTTGAATCACTGGGTGCCACTGAGAAAGGTAACAGTCTTGTCTTAAGATTTGGGATTTTTCCCCAGAAATAAATCTGTTATAGGATTCATTATAAACAACAACAATAAAGAACTACAGAAGTAAAATAGGTGCTTTTTTCCTCTTCCCAGAATGCCATGCAGATTGTGGGTTTTATGGATCATGAAGCTGAGTCTGTCTTGGAAGTGGTGGCAGCTGTGTTGAAACTAGGGAACATCGAGTTCAAGCCTGAATCACGAGTGAATGGTTTAGATGAGAGCAAAATCAAAGATAAAAATGGTAAGTCGAAGGAGAATCACCTTGTTTAGGAAACTTGTGTTGACTTTCTGCCCAGTTTTAAATCTAGAAAGTAAAATTTTTGTTTTGCATTGGTTTGAAAAAGCTTTCTTCTAGTGAAACTCAACAGAAATATAATTGCAGTTCAGTTTTTGTGTGTATGTGTAGTGCTGGGCTGGGGACTGAGCCCAGGACCTTGTGCATGCGAGGCAGGCACTCTACCAACTGAGTTAAGCTACCAGCCCTGTAGTTAAGTTTTAAGCTTTTTAATTTAAACAGGTTAGATTGTTGAGTTTGAGTGCAATTTAAAAGGAACAGCCTAAGCCTTGGTAATGATTATCAATATACATGTAGTCACCTTTTGTGTCTATCTTCCCCTGCTCCCTAACAGAGTTAAAAGAAATTTGCGAGTTGACTGGCATTGATCAGTCTGTTCTGGAACGAGCATTCAGTTTCCGAACAGTTGAAGCCAAGCAGGAGAAAGTTTCAACCACACTGAATGTGGCTCAGGTGGGTAAATCATAATGGACAGAAAGTGTTTTGATGGTGTTTCTATATGAAACTTTACTTGCAGGCTAGTAACTGTCATACTATGTTCCAGGCATTCTAAGCACTAGGGATAGTGATAAATTCAATAGATAAGGATCCCTGCCCTCAGAGAGCTTAAAATTCTGGCAGGGGGAGGTGGGAGTGTTTTGAGCATAAGAGTGACAGGATCTGCCCTTTGTTTCACTGGGTCATTCTGGCTGATTGTGGAGGGGAGAGAGGGGAACAAGCAGCAGAACTCCCTAACCCAGAGATGATGGTGTCTTGGACCATGTGGTTGCAGTAGCTGAGTCAGTGAGATGTGATCCTTTTGTGGGTCTGGTTTGAAGGTGGAGGCAGCAGGGCTTGCGTATGCCTTGATGAATAATAACAAGAATCAAGGGAGACTAAGTAGTTGCCATTTACTGATTTGGAGAAGGTCATGTGAGATGCCAGTTCTGTGGTCAAATGGCCAAACTGAACTCCTGGCCTTTCTTACTGTACCACTTTGAGGTAGAGTGAAATGTTCCTAAGACACAAATCTGAGCTGCAACCTTCTTTCCTGTTGATTGAAGTTAAATGGACATCTGTTTGCATGGATGGATGTGTAGGCAGAACCAGGCAGCATCTGGAGCCCGTTACAATGTAAAACTCTTTGTGCTGTGGCTTAGAAATTTTCCTACCAGTCAATACTGGTCTGGTCTAGAATTAAATGAGTAATTCAGGACTTTTCCCACTCAGGCCTACTTTGTTTATTCAACTATGTTTTTTTGTCTGATCCTCCTTGTAACTAGCTTTAAGCATTTGTAAGACAGTAGGGTAGAGTTCAGCCTCTCTCTTGTTCTAATTGGAGTTAGACTTTCTTGCTAACCCAAGAATGCCTGCTGCCCTTTGCTTTCCTTCAATACTGAGATCTTTCCTTCAATACATGAGTTACTTGGATTGTGGAAAATACTATAATTTTATGTACATGGAGATTTGGTTTGTCGCAGTCCTTCCCTGGTTGTACTGTTGTGTGACTTTCTGAATTGCTGCAGCTGCTGTCATGTCTGTCTACTTCAGCCCTACTTGGGGGACTGACTGCATGGAGAAGATGTTGAGAGCCTGAACAGCACACCCACCCACTTGGGCCCTTGGTAGGGAAGTAAGGGATCAGGGAAGGCTTCATGGAGAGATTGAAGGATTTAGATGTATAAAGAATGGGTGAAAGGGCATTTCAAAAAGAAAGCATTGAGAACAGCCAGCTTTGGAGCACATATCAGGAACAGGATCAGTCAAGCTTGGCTGGAGCTTTAGATTCAGGAAGAAGATTCAGAGCAGTGTGGCTAGGAAGGTTAAATTTGGGGTCAGAGTGGAATGTCTCCAGCAGAGGTTCTTAGATTTAGGCATGCATCAAAATCACCTGGGTGGCTGCTAAACACCCCTTGAGTGTTTGATTCTGTGGGCCTGGGTTAGGACCAAAGAATTTACCTTTTTTTTTTTTTTTGCCAAAGCAAAAAAAAAAAAAATAACAAGGATTGAACCCAGGAGTGCTTAACCACTGAGCAGCATCCCCAGCCTTTTTTTTATTTTAATAATTTTTTTTAAATTTTGAGACAGAATCTCACTAAGTTTCCAAGACTGGCTTTGAATTTGCGGTCCTCCTGCCTCAGCCTCCTGATCTTCTTACTGGGAAGGATCCATATTTCTTCTAAGTGCAGTTACCACCACTGCTACTGCTGCTGGTTCAGGATCACATTTTGAGAGCCACTATGTGTGGATGTTTTAGTGGCCAGAGTTGAGGTCGATAAGTACACAGTGATGCCATGAGAAAGCCTGTGTTGTTTCAGGAGCCCCTTTGAGGACCTGTGTCTTTTGGATCTGTTTTCTTATTGTGTTTTGCTTTTTATTCATCCTCTGTGAAAACCCAACACAGGCGCCTCTTTTCGATAAGCTTATCTGAGTTACCTTATTATCACTGGTAGAATTTTTTCCACAAATTTTTAACCTGTGGATGAAAGAATTTGGCTTGAGATCCTCAGTTTTTCAGCACCTTCGTTGAGTGTGGCTTTTTTGATGTCGTGGTCTGGGTGTGTGCTTCTACCCATCTTACTGCCTGGCAGAGTTGGATTTCTACGAGAGTGATTGGTCTTATTAGCTTTTTCTCACCGTTTCATTGCTTGGCCCTCAGGATCATAGTTATCCCCTGTGCCTCATTTTCCCCGGGGCATTCAGATCTGTTCCCAGATAGGATGACTCATATTAAAATAGAGGATACCCAAGACAGTTTTTCATTTAGTTTTTACAACATAGCTCTCTCCTTGGCCTCCAGGGTCCTGTGTACATAATCCAGACCCTACACGACCTTAATCATTGAGCAACATCCCCAACCTTTTTTTATTTTAATAATTTTTTAAAACTAAATAAAGTCAGTTTATTGCTTTATAGTTCTCTAGGTGCTGTACTTATTTACCTGTCAGTTGTCCATCACCCCCATGTCGCTGCTCATTCCTTCTGCCTGTCTGAATAGCCACCCACTTGCACCCACCCAAGAAGCCTTTCTTGATCACTTAGGCCCCCAGATTCCCCTTCTCCGAACTCTTTTTCTCTGCAATTGGGTCTTGGCCCTGTGATTGTTTTGTTTGTGTCCGTTTGATCTCCCTCGCTCTACTGCAAGCTTCTGGAGAGTGGTTTCCATGTCTGTGTATCTCTGGGTCTCCACCTTGCTCATTCCATCCAGGGCCACCATCTCCCACCGTCTCACAAGCAGATGCCACCTGCAGTTTTCCTCTGTGAGTTTCATGCAGCCACAGAAATGCTTAGACTCTGTGCAGTGTGCTCAGAATCTGAGGGTGAATCAGTGTGCTTGCTATTTCCCCTCATTTCTACATTCCTTGTAGATTCCTTGTAGATCCTTTCCCCTCGTTTCTACTTTCCTTAGAATAAACATCCCTGCCCTTTCTGCTTTATTGGATGTTATTGTGGGGATTAGGTGGCATGAATTGGACTCAGAAGTGAGGGATAGCAAATTGATAGCCCCTGGGGCCAGAGATAGCTCAGTAGGCATGTCTTATTTGACTAAAGGGTAGTTTTGCTTTTGTTTTGATTATTTTCTTTTTCAGTGTTGAGTTTGAATGCCTTTGACCTAGAATGTGTCTCCTCACTGCTTCCTGTTCATTCTTATCCCAAGTCCCTAAGAGCATTTGAGTTGAGGTCCCTTCAATGGACATTTGTTTGAAAGAAGCAAAGAAGATCAATATTGGCTGTGAATACACCTTAAACACCATAAAGCAGTTTCCCAGAATAAGTTGTCACTGTTGTTCTGTTGCACATTGAAACGATGCTTTGTAGGAGGCAGATAGCATACCACTAAAAAAAGCTGGATGACATTAAGATGAAAAAGGGTTTATTTACAAATACGTAGTGTTTTGAGATTGTGTGGTGTTTTGAGATAACTTAAATTTACAAGAAGGGAAAGGATTAAGAAATGATAGAGGCTCATGAGACTGTAGTAGGAGAAATGGATACTTCAAAAATCATAATGAAAATCCATTGTAGACTCTGTGCCAAGCTCTGTTGTAAACACTTGAATTACCTATTTAATACAGCGAAAACTAGGAGAAAGGGTATTGAAGAAAGGATGTATATCCAAATTACATTTCTCTGTCTTAGCATTTTACATGCATCTTCTACTATTGAATCATACCCTTGCCCCCTCTCTTCCAACACCCCCTTGCTTTTCTTTTTGCTTTTTTTTTTTTTTTTTGGCCAGTTTCCAGATATATTTTCTACTCTTGATTAGAGCAGCTGAGAGATGGGGAGGGAGGTTTGGGGTTGACAACAAAGTGTCCAGTGAAGGGAAAGAGTGCAGTTCTTTTCATCTGTGATCCCAGGGAAGTGAGTATGTTATTAATGTTATTATGCTTCATTTAGCTAGAAGTGTGAAACAAGAATTCCCACACAATCTGACAAGCTATGCTCTCTGTAAAATTACAAATGTGCCAGTTTCATTTAACGGCAAAACCCAACTCTCTACTTACAAGTAGCAGACTTCACTCATGGCCAGTGTGTTAAATACAGAGGCAGAATCTCCAGCTTTCCTCTCAGGGGGCCAGCCCCAACTACCCCAAGAGAACAAGTATTAACCAAACTACTGGTACTGTCCACCCTGGGCACCTGCACTAACCCCTTCCAGCATTTGGATTCTAAGACATACATGTTGGGCTGGGCTGTGGCTCAGTGGTAGAGCACTTGCCTAGCATGCGCAAGGCCCTGGGTTCCATCTCCAGTACTGCAAAAACAAAAACAAACAAACAAAAAAAGACATTTTGTGTCTTTATTCCTTCTTTGTCAGGTAGCCCTGAACATCTTTAAATAACCCTGTAAGGTTTTTATCTTCATTATACCAATTTATACAAATGGACTGCGGAGAATACTTAGAAAACACTCAAAAGACTAAGCACAAGAAAATTTACAGATTTCCATCAGTTTGAGCCATTTGAATGTGCTTTCATTTTCCTTTTCTATGTGTAGGATTTTAAAAAAATTTGCTGTATTACATATGCAAATTTTTCGTTTTCACACAATGAAACATTTCCATTTCATTACTCAGTTTCATAACCATTTTTCTCTGATGACTGTATAACATCATAATTTATTTTATTATGTCTTTATTGTTGGACTTCTAAATGGCCTCTGGTTTTTCTCTGTTCTCTAAATTGAGATGAATATCTTTATGGCAAGAACTTGCAATATTTAGACTTAGTTTCCTGGGATGCAAAAAGGAAAAGTGACTGTGTATAAACAGTTTGCCTAATTCTCTTAATGGCTTGACTTCCCATCCAGAGTAAAATAAAAACTAGTTCTAAAAGAAATTTGAAATAAGAGGGCTTTAAATATTTTAAAAATATTTTCATTACTTTGTGGAAATTAAGCATTATGGTAATTGTGGGTATTAAGCTCTTCTTTTTTTTTAAATAGGCTTATTATGCCCGAGATGCACTGGCTAAAAACCTCTACAGCAGATTGTTTTCATGGTTGGTAAATCGAATCAACGAAAGCATTAAGGTAATCAATCTTTATAAGCAAAGAAATCAGTTGTAATAAGTGCTGTTCACAAGGTAAACATTAAGTTGGAGAAAGTTTAGTTTTATAATCAAGATAATTGATTGCTATTTAAAACAATTATTCCTTAAAAGGACTTTACCTGTATAAGATTGAAATTTGCTAGGGATTTTGTTTATTTTGTCTTGCCATGTGTGTTTTATCTCACTGGTAAGTAGGACAGTGGTCTTTGAAGAGTTACTCAAAGTCAGAATTCTAGGACCCAGTCCTGGCTCATTTGCTAGCCAGCTGCATAGACTTGGCTTAAAAGGTCACTTTGCTTTTCTGGGAATTGATATATTGTTCTTTTAAACAAGGGTATTGGACTAGGTGATTTTTAAAGACCATACCTTTTTTAAGATTTTTGTTCTTTCTGTTTCTCTTTCTCTCATTCTCTTTCTACTTGTTTCTCTTTTTCTTCTTTATGTTCTTTCTTTTCCTCCTTTCTTCTTTCACTTTTTCTTCCTTTCATTCTTTCTTTTCCTCCTTTCTTCTTCCCTTCCTTTATTAATACGTCTAATGCCTTTTTAAAATTGTCACCTATTATTAAAATTTTCATTCCTAAATTCTCTGTTTAAAAAAAAACAACTAAATTTTCTAGTTAAGAAAAACAATTAGCATGTCATATATGTCATTTATAGTATTATTATGCCTAAATTAACTCTTTAATTTGAAATTTTTTTTAAGGCACAAACAAAAGTGAGAAAGAAGGTCATGGGGGTTTTGGACATTTATGGCTTTGAAATTTTTGAGGTAAGGTTTTAAAAACTCCTAGTATTATTTTATTAAAGTGGAACAGTTTCGAATTATATTTTATAGACAGCATTTATGATAAGTAACTATAACTTTGCAAATGTAACAAAATTTGGTGGTATGTGTATAAGTGCTGGAGTTATTATTTGGAGACATTGCTGTTTAAACAGAATTTCTCATTAGTACTTGACTTCTCAAGTTGCAGATTTAAAATTCTTACTTTGAGACTTCTAATAAGTGGCATGACCATTACGCCTGGGGCTATTCATTCATTTATAGGTTGTTGTAATGAAAAAACCAGGAATGGGAAAACTGGGTGTTGTCTTGGCCTGACTAGGGCTGGTCACTTCAGCTCAGACTCAGAGGAAAGTCTGGATCAGATGATTCCTAGAGTGTCATTCAAGTCTCATCTGGCTGAATGATCTGGTGGTCTTGCAATAAGGAATTCTATAGAAGTCAAAATAATTGCTGCACAAGTTCAGAGTTAATTAAAAAAAAAAAACTCCATGCTTGCTACAAATTAAATATTTAAACATTAAATGCTTAAATTTTCTTTTTGCTGACTTTGACATTGAGAAACACAATATGGACCTATTAAAACACTGTCACTTTTAGGAGTAGTGTTTATTTTGAGTCAAGGAAATGACAGGTCGATCTGGCTCCTCCTCTCTCATTTCTCTCCACTACAAGTAATTATTTCTGAATTCCTTTAAGCTAACCCAGGCCTTCCTAGCAAGTTCTTTTTTCTGGTAACATTCATGTTGATAATAGTACCTTCTCCCTAAGTCATGTTCCATGCTTAACATTTGGGCCTAAATACTTACTAAGGGCTGATTGTGCACCAGCATTTGGGAAATGCTGTGTATCGTCCGATTGAATTTTCAGAACAAACTCATGAAGTAGCAGCTGCTACTATCCCCATTTTACAGATGAGAACATAAGACCCTGATGGTCAAGTGACTCCCCTACAGGATGTGGCTACTAGGCAGCAGACACAGGAACTACACCTGAGACCTAATATTTTTATTTATTATTTTCTTTCCTACTAGGATTGAGATCAGGGCCATTTCCTCACCTTTATTCCCTAATTCACAGGTTCCTCAGTATCTGGAAATAAGGGTGAAAAAAAAAAAGTGTTGTGATAAGTCTGTGATTCCCCTGTTGCTCTACTCTCCCCATCACCCCCAGCTCCTGGCCAAGGTTGGGCGCTGTCCCAGATGAAGTGTGTGTTGGCGGCTACCCCCTGTAGAGTTCCCAGAACACAGCTCTTCAGTACAATGTCTGCTTGTACTGAGGCCCCTTTATCAGAATCTGCAAAGAAAGGCTGCCAGTCCCTTGGTAAAAGGGAAGAATTTGAGGTTTATAAGTTAGAAGAATTGCTTGTGTATACTCAGAAATCCCTCTGCCCAAATTAATTTCTTGCTAGCAAGACCTCAGGTTACTGTCACTTAATTGGCAGGACGTCAAAGTCATTCCTCATAGCTGGCAGGGAAAAAGATTGCTTACCTGGTACAGAGCTGATCTAAATTTAAATGGTCTCATGAGCAGCACAGATGGTAGACAGAGATTTTACTAGAAAGTAGAAAAACATATAGTCAATACTGTTTGTAAAATCAAAGATACTGATTTTAATTTTGTCAGGAAAATAAAAAGATTTATTGATCTTAAGCCCGTGAGCAGGTGGTTAATGTCCTAACATGATACATGGAAACTTAAAAATACATAATAGGATTATGATGGGATATCACTTTGTTTTGTCTTCAGTGTGTCCTAGCATCTCATGGGAAAAGACACCTAATAACACTCAAAGGAAAATGAGTTAGACATCATGAGCAACTGGAATCACTTCTCAAGGTTTTGTTTAGTGCCTTCTTGGCCAGATACCAAATGATAAACAAGACAGAGATGTCCTCGTCTTCTTGGAGCTTCCTGTCTTGACCTTAAGACCGAAAGCCTGTTGCTCCCTGAAGACAAGTCTTATTGGATAGTGAGATCTAATCAAGACACTAGGTTACTCTTTTGAAAGTGAGTTTGCTTTTGAACCTAATCAGAACAGAAATTGTGTGTTCCTGGGTAAAATATCCTTGAACTTGACACTGGGTGGAATACCTTTCAGCAATCCAGAGATATTTTTCACTTATGGTTAATTCAAGTCTCTCTCAGTGTCTTGATGAACTTGCCTTCCCTCTGCAAATGATGGTTCTTTATCACTTTTTTTCAGTACCACCAGGAACTTCAGTTAAGGAAAATGAGTGCAGTATATTTATAATTCTCTTCTTTCACTCCTTAGAAGGAATACTTTAGGAGTTCTCAAACTCAGCTGCATATTGGAATCACCTGGGGGACTTTTGAAAATTCAGATGTCCACACTGTACCCAGAAGCAATGATATCAGAATCTCTAGGGGTGGGGCCATGGCAACAGTATTTTTAAAGCTCCTGGGTGATTGTAGTGTGCAGTCCAGGTTGAGACAAATTGCTTTGGTAGAAAGTAATCTCCAGAGACAACTGTAAGTTCCAAACACCTGTGATGTACAAGTTGTGTGGCCTCTGTGCACAATGCCCTGATGAAAGACATCAGGCCTCACCCCTTGTTGTGTCAATATCGAAATCGGATTTCTGCTTGTACATTTTTACTATTCTTTTTTTTTCTTTAATATATATGTATTTTTAGTTGTGAATGGACACAATACCTTTATTTTGTTTATTTGTTTTTATGTGGTGCTGAGCATCAAACCCAGTGCCTCAGATGTGCAAAGCAAGCACTCTGCCACTGAGCCACAACCCAAGCCCCATTTTTACTGTTTTTAAATTAAACTTTCAGCTGGTGGGAAAACCTGTCAATTATGTCAGTAGCAAATCTTCTGGTTGCCATAAAATCATTAACTATTAAGTTTTTTTTTTCATGCAGAAAATGATTTATTTTTTTCCACTTCCCCCTCCCAGTTCCTTGAGAGAATTAAGATTTTATTTTTTCAATAATTAAATTATACTCTCCATTTTTTTCTGATTAATTATTCTCTCCATTTTTCTCTCTAAACCTTCTCAGATTGATCATCAATCTTGATTTTTTAATAAACAACTTAATGTTTTATTTTTATAAATAAAATTTATTGGGGGAAATTCATAATAGAAATTTGGTGGGGGTACCTTTAGATACTTTTGTCTGCTTTTTGATACTGAATTGCAGTGTTTTTTTTTTTTTAACAAATTATTCACAGACATGTCCCAGTTTGCAGCCTACACTTTTCCTGAATTCTCAACAATATTAGAACATGTGGGAATGTAAGGAAATGTATAATATTGAACTCTAGGAAGCCCAGCTAATTAAGGACTTAAATAAGTACCACAAGCTGAAGAATAAGGGGTCAGAATACAGGAGAAGTATTCAGAATCTATGCCAGTGCACAAAAGAACAATTCTATATTTTTTACCTGGGTGAAAATAAACTGATAAAGTAGAAATCAAAACCTGCCTTAGTTCTTCAGTAGAAAACAACAATAGAAATTAGGAGCTCTACCTTTTAGAATGCCCTGGGCATCACTTTAAAATTTGGACAGTAAGAGTCCAGAACAGTTTTTAAAGTGTCTGATTCTGCCTCAGTGACCTACCTCACTGAGAGTTCCCATGGAAACCTTTTTCAGCTGAGCTGGTGGGAACCTTTCACTCCCTTTGGTCCCTCTCTAAAGGGAAAGGGGAATCTGATGCATTAAACCATGGGATGATGACACATGGATTTGACTGCCCGGCATTCCGGTACCAGCTGGGTGAATAAGCTCTGCCTTGCTAGCTGCATGTGATCTGATGTCAGTTTAGAAAACAGATTATGGAACGTTGGTACTGAAAATAGAGTAACATGAACTACCTTTCATAGAAGAAAAGAACCTAGCTGTCAATCCTGGTAGAACACTGATCCAGCTTTCCAAAGGTAGAAATTATAATCCAAACACCCCACACATTCTTAAAACTGAAAAGATGGTCTTTGATTTCTGAGAAATATTTATTTTTATCTCCATAAAAGAATGAATATTATTCTTTAAAAAATGATATTATATTCAAAAGTAAGTTGAGAATTTTGAATTGATTTGGCTCTTTTTCTGAGTAGTTAACCTAATAGGTATCAAATTGGCAAGTAGTTCACTAGAAAGTCAAATTAATCATTAATGTTCCATGAACCAAAGCAGATAGCAATAACTGATTATTTCATTTTTCTTAGAGTTGAGCTGGTTTCATCCAGGCAGAGTGCTAGTTATTTTTAATTTTGTACTTCTTACCATGTTGCCCTAATGTACCTCGTGTATAATTAAAAGTACTCATGTATAATAAGATTATAATAGGCTCAATATAATGATCATTCAAATAAAACAACCTAAAACTTGGGTAAGAGACAGTAGCTTAATACGTCTGTTGCATGATTATAGAACTTGTTTTCTAAGTTGTTTCAGTTCTGGCTGTAGTCAATACCTTCTGTTCTAGTTTTTTACCTTCATTTTTATCCTTCATGTGCCAGAAAGCTTATAGCTGAAGAAGGAGACAGAGTTTAAAGTAGATTTGAAAATGAAAGTGGAAACATTATGGAGACCGTGTGTGTGTTTTATTTTGTATACATATAGTTACTCTTGCTCTTTTTCAGTTAAAGCCTATTTAAAAATATTTAAGAAGTCATGATAGTATTATTTTTCTTGCTAATTTACCATATTTGAGTATGGAAGAAAAATGTCACATATTTAAAGGCAAGTTTTTTAAAACTTCAGCCACTCATTCAAATTTATGAATAACTAAAAGACAATATTTAAAGTCAAATGTTTTTCTTTTAAATTTTGAGGATATATTTTAAGTTTACTTTCTTAAAAAAGCAGTTTTTGCCTTGGTACCTGTTTCTTAAAAATGGATTATAGTTGAGCTGAGGCCATAGCTCAGTGGCAGAGTGCTTTTCTAGCATGTGCAAGGCACTGGGTTTGATCCTTAGCACCATACACAAATAAAATAAAGGCATTCTGTCCATCTACAACTACCAAAAAAAAAAAAGGATCGTAGTTAAGTGCTTGTTGTTTAAAATCAGTGATATAATTGGGGACTGCCAAAGACTTTACATCAAGTGAATTTTTGCTGGGACCAACAGCACATTTAATAGCATTATTATAACCCAGTTTCTATAAATTTGACATTGCACTCAAAATCCTATAATTTCATATATTAATGAACTGTTTGATTTACTATGCAGGACATTTCATGATAGTTAACTGTAGAACTGCATCTGACATATTATATCCAAGATTTGACCTAAAATGGAAATGCTGAATTATAAGGAACATCAGTTAAGTTTTTAATTCACAGTAGTTTTTGCTTAAATAAGTCACAGTCTTTTGAGTTCGAACTGCTCACTATTTCCAACACATGATATTCACCTGCCAAATTCTTCCTCTGTGACCATTTCAAACACAAATGGGACAAAGCTGCCTCCTATATTCATCTCTTCCTTTTAATATTTATTGTTACAAGCTTTTAAAAAATATCTACCTTAAAGAATATAAGATACCCCGAGCCTGTTCTGTTGCCAAGGAGAATGTGCAAATAGGCCAGTATTTTTGATGATTTTTTTGAAATCATTTTACGTGGAAGTTCATGATTGATACTTAGGAGTATAAACTAGTCATGAACTCAGCTGGGAGTATGATTTTCTGTTTCTTTGATGTTGAAAGGATGGGCTTTTAGTCTAGAATTTTTGAGACAGAAACCCTAGAGTTTCAAATCTTGGTATATTATATACTTCCAAATATAGAAAGTGCTCTCTCTCCTTGTCTGCAGGGTAAATACAGCATGAAAAAGCATAGAACCCCGGCAGCTTAGGGTTCCCTGTGTTCTCTGAAGCTCTGTGTCAAGGGTGAGCTTTATTCTGAGTTTCACTCAAAGGATCATAAAATAAAATTCTTACTATGTACTTGTTTGCACATGCTTCTAAAAGTTTTAGTCTTATCTCTCAGTCTTTGTGGATCAATGTGGGTAAGGTAGTAGAGAAAAATTCCATGCGGGGAGCATGGGTAGAAAACGGGAGACTAGACTAGTCATTAGCGAGGGTCAGCTCCTGCCCACTTCCTCCTTTGGAGACTTTGATTCATGAGACTGGCATATGGGAGAGGTGCTGGCTACTCATATAGTTCTTGACAAACCAAAAAAAGCATTCAAATGTAAAGCTGCTTCAGGGCCTTCATATTCATGTGATGATTTCTAGACTCAGTGTAGTCATTTTATAAAGGGGGAGGGGTAACTCATGTTGAAAAGGTCATGTTAATTTATAAATGTATAATTTATAATTTATATACCTGTATAAATGGAAAGATGTGTTGGCATTGTGCAAATTGGAGTTTTTTGAATGGTTACCAGGCTGATTTTTTTTTTCAGATTATTGCTTGTTTTTTTAAGTTTTTCCAAGCTATTTTTTTAGTTATTTTTATTTTGAGGGCTACTGAGGTTTGAACTCATGGGCCCTCAATCACTGAGCCACAGTCCCAGCCCTACTTTTTCATTTGATTTAGAAACAGGGTCTTAATGAGCTGCTTAGTGCCTCGATATTGCTGAGGCTGGCTTTGAATTTTCAATTTCTCTTGCCTCAGTCTCCTGATCCACTGGGATTATAGGCATGCACCATCCCGCTTCGCTTCAAGTTAATTTTAAATTGTGTGAAAGTCCTATTTCCCCCCAAATTTGGACAGTGTCAACAGTTGGAATTTATATCACAAGAAATGGGTCTTTAGCCTTCAGTTTTGGCAGTTTGACCATTTGGGAGGTTGGAATTGTGTTCATAGTAGATGCTGATTTCCTTAAGGAAGTATGTTAACCTCTACATTGGTGGTCGTGGTAGCCTCTTTGTTTGGGAAATTTTTTGCTGTTTGAGTTTTAGCAACAGAATAAGATAGGAAAGTCAAGTTTTTGTTCTTGGGTCATCTCCAGGAGAATACTCTCTCCTTCCCATCTTATTTGCTTTTGAAAGGAAGGCCTAGGAAGGTATTTACAGGAATGGGTCTCAGGGATACTGGAAGTGAGGGTACTTCTGCCTCTTGCTGAATCTCTTCAGTAATCAGTGATTTGACAGCTGTTTCTACCCCTGACTCTTTCTTTAGAGAGATATGGGACTTGGTTACAAATCATGCATGTTTCTTTTCCCTTATCATTTAGAATTAGAAGCATTATATTCTGATGCTTTAGGGCTTCTGGCAGTTTATATGATTTATCAGTATTTTAATCAAACTTTTTATCCTGAATAGCTCTCCCCTAGCTATACATCCCTGAGACACCATATCGTAGATATGGTTGCCCTGTCTTTTGGATTATTTGGACATGAGTCTTGATCTAAAAAGTTCTACACCCATCAAAAATAATAGTCTGAGTGATAAAAGCAGTCCTTTGCAGCAATGAATAACTCTCAGTAAGTGCTTACTTTTAGAAGTCCATTGCTAATTAAGAACTGACTGCATTTTGTGTGATCTGTCCCTCTGCACCAGAATGCAGTAAGTATGAACCGTGTGCTGTGCCAGTCTGTCGCATGCTCCCGTGTTAATAGCCTCTTAGCCGTGTGAGTTTTGCAGTAAATGGTTGTTGATTAACTGTGTGGTTATAAAATACAGAATTTGTGCTGGAGTTTTTAAAGATCATAGCAAATTTAATTTAGCTCTAACTTAATTCTTAATTTGTGTTGTTAACTGTGAAGCTTTGCCTCTGATCCCTAATCTTCCTGTGTGTTCTTCATGATCCTGTTTTAGAAGTGTATTGCAAGCTGTTCATAGCCACATAATGCATCTAAGGACACCAGTCGCTTTCTCCTTCCTTCTCCTCATTATTTGCCATTTGAAAATTTAGCATAATTGTGCTGAGATAGCTCTTTAAGCACAGACCTGCAAGTAACAAAAAGGATTTGCTCCATGCATTTATTTTTTAAAACAAACCAAAGATCTGCTTGTATTAGCCATTAAAATTGTGTTTTTCATTTGTGATAGTAGCATTATATCAAGACATATTTTACCAAATCAAGAATACTTAATTTTCTAATATAAAATGGCATTATGCTGGTTAAAATAATAAAAAGACATTGGGACTAAACTGACTTCAGTCTCTAATCAAAATCGTTAACTCTGAGGATTTAAAAACCTTGTGTGAAAATGAGTATTGAAAAGTAGATGTTTGTCCTTTAGCAGGAACCTTCAGGATTTTGAAAAAAACAAACAATTAAATTTAGCATTAAGAAAATTAGTCAGTGATAGTGCTTTTACATGTGTCATTTATGGTTTGGAGTCAAGCATTTCCTCAGATCGGGTCATCACTAGTGACTAGAAGTCCTTAGCTGACTTCCAGGAAAGAATGTGGCCACATGCTGCATCATAAAATTATCATCTTAAAATTTGTAAGAGGTACAAACAAAGTTGAATTTAAAAGACGGGCTTTCAAATTACTCCATAACTCACTGCTTTAGTCATTCATGGAGGGGTGTGAAGGCCCCTTGCTCTGCAGAGTCACAATGAGCAGTGAGCTTTGCTACCACCATTACATGTGGACCTCTTTGTTCTTTACACCTGGACTGGCTGCCTTGGTGGCCAGGTTTGCATGGGGTGGAGTCTTCCTGTCCCTTGTGAGAAGGGGCAGGAATGAGAAGCTCTATAGTCGGATCCACTGCTTCCTGGAAGGTGTGGGTCTAGGTGAAGTGTACTCCTTCAACAGAAGGTGTGTTTTGTGCCTTCAACACGTGCAGCCATATATTAAGCCCTGACAATTGTTCCAAATGGTTTAGGGGTTTCTATTGGAGAATCCACAGTAGAGAACCCTAGCCTGAAGGAGAAAATGCTGAGACTCAAAAGTAATGAAGTGTCGATCTTCTAAGAAGAGAGAGGTTGTTTCTTGCTAGGGAGACCATTTCAGTGTCTTATTTCCCTTGGGTCTCTATTTGGTAGGTGCTTCATTCATTCACTCACTCATCTAGTCCATGATGAATACTGGGAGGCACAGGGCAGGCCTGGGAATACAGTGGACAAGAGAGCATGGTCAGCCCATGCCCTCAAGGAGTGTACAGTTCATGGGAACATGACTGTGAAATAGGTCAATACACATGTCCACATGTATACACACATATTCATGTAGCACGGTGCCTGAGGAATATCTGAACCTGGATTGGGGGTCAGGGTGGGACTGACAGGTCAACTCAGGAGGATTCTGTTGCTCTCTGAAGGCTCACCTGAGAATGGAAGATTGAAAAGTTGGTGACAGATTGTGACACTCGCTATCTTTACTGATTGTCAAAGGGAATTTTTTTTTTTTTTAACCATGAGTGCTTCTCTGTCAACTAAAAAGCTTCATCCTTCCAATGCTGCATCATTTGTGTATATTCATTCATTCACTTACTCGTGAGCCATTGCCCACGTGCCTGCAGAGGAGCTTTGTGCTGGACCATGGTTAAGTCTGAAAGACGATGTGTGGCATTTCTCATGGATTGAGACGTCTGCGTGTCATTGTTACGGGGAGCCAGTGAGTGTGGTTTATAAGTCTTCTTCATTTTCTCCACACAGGACAACAGTTTCGAGCAATTCATTATTAATTATTGTAATGAAAAGCTACAGCAAATCTTCATTGAACTTACTCTTAAAGAAGAGCAGGAGGAGTACATACGGGAGGTAATGTAGAAATGCTTCTTTAAAATATTGTACCCATCTTACTCATAATTAAATTTTGTATTCAGATAGCTGTTTAAACTTGACCACAGAATCAGGTTTATCTAAGTTTAATCATATTATATCCTCTAAAAATCTGTTTGGCATGACATCCATGCTAATTTTCTTAGGTACTGTGCAGCCGGTATCCAGCACAATGCTGGCACAGAGTAGATGATCAATAAGTATCAGCTGATGGACTCTAGTCTCATTGGATTCCAGGGTAATGATGTGAAATAATAGTATATTAAGAAAACAGTCACAGATGAATGAACAAACTGTTGTGGCACCTCCAACCAGTGTACTGTTGCTGTGCCATAAAATAACACTATAGAAAATGAAGAAAAATAGGTGATTTTAGTAATGATTTTACTAAACCATTGGCCTGTAGAAGGCCACAGAGTTGGCCGCTGTGAGGGGATCAAAGTTGTGAGGGATTATGACTACAGAGGGACTGAGTGAGGGAATTTGAGGGACTTATTGTGGTGGTCACATGACAATATGCATTTGCCAAAACTTTGAGAACTGTATACCAGAAAAAGTCAGTATCACTCTTAAGTAGTTTTGAAAATAGTTTGAGACTTTGTTTAATCTTGAATAGCATTGATTTTCAAAATTTATAATAAAAATAAGTAACATTTGTCAAGTGGTTACTATATACCAGGTAATGGATTAAGTGCTACATGTGGGTTGACTCATTTAATGTAATTTAACAATAACCAGAGGTAACATTTGCAAAGCCCCTTTGTCTTTTTGTTGTTGGTGGTGGTGGTGTGGATCAGCAAAGTATTTTCATCTTTAATGTTGTAGCACACATTTGGTTTTCATTCTTTAATATTATAAATAGTCATTTTTTTCCCCAAAATATGCACTTATTTCTTTCAAATCATGAAAAGAAAGAATTATTTTATTGTATTTATGTTTTTACTTATTTTATTTCCTTTTATTTGCTTTAATAGCATTTTAGCAATATCATTACTAAAGTCACCTATTTTTCTTCATTTTCTAGAGTGTTATTTTAAGCCATCAAGGACACTAAATCTTTATTTTTTAATCACATTATAGATTTTTCTAATGTGATTATTAATCCTGTGACTTAGTAAAACTATCTATTTACTCTTACAACAAATCAGCAATATTTCATCTTTGAAGAGTGATCATTATACTTTAGAAATGTTTCAGACTTGTCTGGCATCGTTGGGTAATGTAAATATCTTAAAAGCAAGAATTGTGCTCTTTCTGTTTTCTCATCGTAAAGCAAATACCCAGACTTTTGATGTGTATCTTAAAAATAGTTTGTACAGATTGTCTAAAACACTTCTTAGAGTGCATAGGAAGACCCCTGCTGGCTTTATCAATTACATTTCTATCCTTTAGAAGAAAAATAAATGTTTACACTTAAGGATGAAGTGTAAGCAGACACAGATTGCACTTGGCCTTGCTGATTTGGCTTTGTAGCTTATGGTAGAGCCAGTGCTTAGGTTTTTGTGTCTTTCCATATGTTGAAAATACTTTGTCTTAGCACTGGGCTTTTTGTACACTAGAAACGGTTAACTGCCCTACAGCTTAAATTGACTCTAAAATTAATTTTTTCTTTGTGATGACAAATAAAGATCAGAAAAGTCTAGGCCTTGGATTCCTGGGATCAAGTTCTGTCTTATTTCCTTATAAACATTGTAAATATACACAAAGTAATATTGACCCAGCAGCCTGTCGAGTAAATATGGCCCAGAGCCAGTGAAGTGCATGGGAAATGGCCACAGATGGGAGAGTGGAATGGGAGGCGGGCTCGGAACAGGTCAAGGGTGTCTGCTGCAATCAGATGATGTTGGTGGTGGACTGCTGCGTTTAAGTAAGTTTTAAAAGGGAACCAGAAGAAGACATTTGCAGCATCAATTCTATAAAGAAAATGAATTCAGAGAGAAAGAGAAATTTGGTTAGATGGATGAAATTTTCTTTTGGATGGTGGTTTTGTGGCATCATCATTCAGATTTGATTTTGTTCTATTTTGTCTTTTAGGACATAGAATGGACTCACATTGACTACTTCAATAATGCTATCATTTGTGACCTAATAGAAAATGTGAGTACTTTTCTAAAGAAATTTATGGTAATATAATTCATGACATAAAAATGACCTTGCTGCCTTTGATGTTAAGCATCCATGTTTTCACTACTTTACGCTTTTCTTGAAGGAGCTACTGTGTTTTGGAGGCTTTACTGTAGTCCTCAGAGATCACTCACAGTTCATATTAGCCAGAATCCCCCATGCTGATCCTGTTGCTGTATCAAAATCCTTTCATGAACTTCAGAGGTCAGACCTTTACATGCGCCATCCTTTCTTGTGTGGTTGGAAACCAAATCTAATCCATGGTTCCTGGGAACGTGAGTAGTGATCAGAGAAGGTTCAGAGCAGTCTACTTCATCTCTAAAACTCTAATGACCTCTTTTTTTTGGGAGGGGGGCAGGTAGCAGGGATTGAACTCAGGGGCACTCAACCACTGAGCCCCATTCCCAGCCCTGTTTTGTATTTTATTTAGAAACAGGGTCTCACTGAGTTGCTTAGCACCTTGCTTTTGCTCAGGCTGGCTTTGAACTCATGATCCTCCTGCCTCAGCCTCTCCTGAGCTGCTGGGATTACAGGCATGCACCACCGCACCTGGCTCTAGTGACCTTATTGTACTGTTCCAGTTAAGATAAAGGAGGCAAAGAGACAGCTTCTGGAGCTGAATTAAGTGGGACCCCAGAGGTGGCTCAGGTTCAGGGAATGTATGCAAGAGGGTAATGCATATGTGACTGCAGGTGGCTGAGGTTCCTGGGATTTTTCATGTGCAAATGTGAAAAGGCTCCAAATGTGAAAAACTGTTGGATAATTTTTAGAAAACTTTCTGAACCTAAGGCATTTATATTTGTTTTTAAATCATATTCTATGGTTTATTGTAAATGGATTAATTTTAGGAAGACCTATTTGTGTGTGAAAACAGGAAACTCTTTTGTTTTATACTTAGTATTACTAATACCCCGGATCTTGAAAAAGTGATTTGAAACAATGTGTGCACTTGTCCTGTAGTCTTTGTAGCTGTCAGGACAGGTGAATGCTGTGTTTCAGGAATGCCATCACAGGCTCTGAAAGAACAGCAAACTATTTCTAGTCAATGAGTCCTTTTGGAAATTACATAATTAGCCAGTGATTTTTCCAGTGATATTCAAGATATTCTTGAAAGCTGCATCTTAGATTAAGTTAATTAAAATAATGACTACTTTTCAATGAAATTTAAATTTTATTTTTAAAAAATATGGCCAGTAAGCTGGGGTTGTGGCTCTATGGCAGAGCAGTTGCCTCTCACATGTGAGGCACTGGGTTCAATCCTTACCACCATATGAAAATAAAACAAAATAAAAAAAAAATAAACGTCATTAAAAAGGAAAGATAAAAAAAAAAGAAAATAAAACAAAATAAAGATATTTTGTCCATGTATATAACTAAAAAAAAATTTTTTTTAAATCTGGCCAGTGTTAGAATGAGAACACCAATAGTCCACATAAAGTATTTAAAGCTATAGCCTAAAATCTAGAAAATCAGTCGATTTCCTGAAATTTTTTCCTGGTAAATTTTGTGACCAATGCAATTTGCTGTGAGAACTTGATAACTTTCAAAATTCCTGAGTAACTTTTTTTTTTCCCCATACACAGTGCACTGATTATTTCCCTTTAGGAAGGGGCAAGGAAAGGTAATATGCTTAACTTAGCACCGAATCCCCTTGCATATATGATTGAAGAAACTCATGTTCATTTAAGAGTCTGGGTACATAAGGGAAGCACTTCCTTCCAGAGCCATTAAACAATAATGTTTATTCTGGGGATGTTATGAACACACTTGATTCCTAAGAGTCCACACTTCCCCTGGGTTTTGTCTGGAATGAATACATGCTGGTCACAGGATGTCATGGCCTTGAGAGGAAAAAAGAAGAGGAATGGGAGCCTTTGCCTTGGTGGAAATGGGAGGGGTTGATGGTCAGTGGAATGGATTGTTTTTGGAATTAAGACTTAATGGGCCCTGTAGAGGCAATGCAAGGAACAACTTCTTCTATTTAGCAAAATAGAAGATTTGCTAATTCCTGATTCAGTTTAGCACTGTCTTTTCTTGAAATAAACATGATCATAGGGTCTGAATACACCACAAGTAAACTGTCGCACATATTTTAATATCCATTTAGATATTTTATATGGAGTAGGAATTTTATTCTAAAAGACAGTCTTGAAAACAGCTTGATTTCAGTGATCATTAAAAGCAGAATTCCAGATCACAGCATTTTATTTTGAATACATGAACAGTTTGGAAACATGAAATCAATTTAAAGTTCTTAAGGTGTGAATCTGATAATGGCCTTAGGAGGCTGCTTTGTGATTTATGACATGTTATGGAGACTGCATCATCACGTTTGTTTTTGACTTTCTGACTTGTTTTTGAATCTTGGAGGTCTGATGAATTTCAATTCTACTTAATGTGGCAGAGTTGACTCCCAGGATCTGTTCTGTTGGGGGAGGGAGACACTAATACAGACACTTGCACCCACACACACCTGGGACACTGGGAAAGAGCTGACTTCCCTGGTTTTTGTTAATTGTTTTGATTCTCCGCTTTTTTTGTTATAACTAAACAGAATTTTCTTGTGACTAAGTTAATTGTGTTTGAAAGTATAATCAGGACTAATTATTCAAACAATACCATGAGGAAGGAAGGAAACATTTTTATTTCCTTTCTCCCAGAACACAAATGGAATCCTGGCCATGCTGGATGAAGAGTGCCTGAGGCCCGGCACGGTCACTGATGAGACCTTCTTAGAAAAGCTGAACCAAGTGTGCGCCACCCATCAGCACTTTGAGAGCAGGATGAGCAAGTGCTCCCGGTTCCTCAATGACACATCTCTACCGCACAGCTGCTTCAGAATCCAGCATTATGCTGGCAAGGTATGGGGGCTGGGAGGACCCACCAGGCCTGCAGTGCATTCCCACAGGGAGAGTGCACCACAGAGACAGGTATTCCGGACACTGTTCCCTTCAGAGGATAAATCCACCCCCAATCCGATCATCAGTGTTCAATAGAAATTGGATCTGGTCCATGCAGAACAAAATCCTGTTAATACAGAGAACTGAAAGCAAATTCAGTGGACTTAATGAACAGTCCAAACATATTTTTTAAATAGACTTCATTATTTTTCAAATGCTAAGCTCTCCTGAAAACAAAAACAAAAAAAACCTAACAGTACTAATAAAGGAGATTAATTAATAAAAATTGGAAATCACTGAAGAGTTAGAGTAGGTTTTGAAAGCACAAACCATTTAGCAAAAATAATGAATTCTTAGATTGATTTTGAAATAATACCAGAAAAGATATCTGTCTTTTTTAAAAAAGCTCTTATTTATTTGGTTAATGTTGTGGAAATTAATTTTATGTCATCAAATCTATAAAGATAATGTTAAAAACAATTCTGATAATAGGTTAATTTAGAATCCTAAAAAATTAGATTATTGATTATAGATTATAAAAGGTTGGGGCTGGGACTCAGCAGTAGAGCGCTTGCCTTGCACAGTGAGGCACTGGGTTCGATCTTCGGCACCATAAATAAATAAATAAATGAATGAATGAATGAATGAATGAATGAATGAATGAATGAATAAATATTAATTGGTGCTAATACCTTCTTTATTATAATTAAGATCACATACTTTCAAAGAAAAACCTTAATTATGTGTTTAGTCAAAAATAGATAAATGTGGTATATCTGAAATATTTCATTTCAGCTTTGGTACTTTATTTTTTCCATTAATCTATGTTATTAAAAGGTACATTCCTGATTAGTTTTTCTGCTGCTCAAGTATATCTCTGAAAATGATACCATTATTTCTGTTTTCCTTGCTTTTAAACAGACTAGAATTGGCACATATAAACCAAAAAATAAAAGTAAACCTCAGATTTATGTTAAAACGGCTCAAAAAAATCTAAACTCCTTTGAAAATGTTATGATAACACTTGTGGAGTTAATTCTTGTAAATCTTGAAAGGTAATAGCATTCACTTTGATCTCTTCTGGTAGGAAACAGAATTTAAACTTGGAGGCCAGTTTGGCATCAGTGTGCCTGATGAACGGGGGTTTGGGAGGGGAAGGAAGTAGCTGCCATGTTGATAGCTGCTTGGTGTCGCTGTGTGCATCATGCCCACTATTGAGTCCCATGTGCTGCTCGTAGGTGCTGTACCAGGTGGAGGGATTTGTTGACAAAAACAATGACCTTCTCTATCGAGACCTGTCCCAAGCCATGTGGAAGGCCGGCCATGCCCTCATCAAGTCTTTGTTCCCTGAAGGGAACCCTGCCAAGATCAACCTGAAAAGGCCACCAACAGCAGGGTCACAGTTCAAGGCATCCGTGGCGACGCTGATGAAAAACCTACAGACCAAGAACCCAAACTATATCAGGTATTTCTGGCCCAACCAAATTCTTTGACAATACAAATGTGAGAACACTCTAGAGAAATATCTTTTTCCTATTTGCTTCAATCTGAGAGTAGCCCAAGCCCAGGACAACTAACACAGTTCAGATCTTATAATATGATGTCTGGGGTGGACTTGCATAAAGCTCCACTACCTTTCTTTCCCCAAATAGAAGGAAAAATAATGTGGGGATGATAGATATTTCATGATACTGGGTGGTTGGCACATAGGGGTTCTCAACTTTCTATATGTTTAATCTTTTTTAAATGACCAATTAAGGAACAAAATATAAAATGGTTTTCCTGATCAGAGTTTACAGAAAGCTCTTTTGTTGCTGTTATTTTGGATTCCTTTGATAATGACTTAAGCCATGTTACTATTGAGGGCAAGAGGCAGGAGGAGCTGGGGTTGCAACTCTGGTTTGTGTTAGGAAGTCGCACACTTTGTTTCCAAGGAGAGTTGTGGACCAGGAGAGCCAGTGACTCCTAAAATAGCCTGAAGTTTTTCAAATCAATATAAAAGAATCCTTTAAAGCCTCTGGTTTCTTTTTTCCCTAACTCTGGGACATCTTAGGTACTCACCTCAAGATTCAGGAAAGACCAATTAGGATGAGAGTTTACCATGCATGTGTGTGAACTAGAAGATAGGAAGGATGCTCTGTGGTGGGCTAGACCTGAGCCTACCCACACCCAGTTTGAAAACTCACTTATGAGGAAATTAGAGTAATAAAGAGTTTTGTGTTTGACTTTTTTACCTGATATTTATACCAGAAGAAACATACATAGGCAAAAAACACTCTGGTTTGATTGTCATCAACTTAGAGCATAAATTGGGAGAAAATCTAGTTTCCAAAAAACAACCAGGAAATTTTTTGTGATCAATTGCTTTTGTTACTGTCCATTGAGTAGATTTTTTTTAAAGCTCAGATTTATTGAGGTGTTGTTGACATTGAGTGATATGTACAGATCCTAGGTGAACAGTTCAATTATTTTTTTAAACATTTCTACATACAAGTTGGTAACCACCACCCAGGTCAAGGCATAAACATTTCCACCGTTTCAGAAAGTTTCTTTATTTCTCTTCCGTTAGTGATTTTTCTAATATTAAGATTTAAGAAACCTTAATAAATCCTGAGGTTTTGAAGATAACATGTTTCCTTCTAGAATCTTCATAGTTTCAGATTTCATATTTAAGTTTACTGCTTTTTTGCCATATAAATAGCCTGTTGTTTTGACACCATACATTGATAGGGAGAAAATCCCTCTTTTCATCCAGTTGTCTTGGTGACTTTGTTGATAATTAGTTGAATGTATGGGTAGGGGTATAGGTCTGAACTTACTAAGCTGATCCATTGATCTATTTGTCCTTATTTAAGCCAAAGAGTGGGCATTTTGTTTATAGATGGTGAAAGCATAAAACACCAAGACAAAACTAGTTAGACAACCATAATTGTGAATTTTTAACCATTGTATTAGTACAGAGGGATTGCTGGAATATGATCCAAAACTAATAATGGCTTAAACAATACTGGCATTTATTTATGTGTGTATGTGTGTGTGTAACTCTTAAGTGCAAGAACACCAAGGCTAAAAGGATAGCTCCTTCTCTTTTGTGGCTCTGCCATTTCCAGGTGTATTTTTCATTCCCATAACCAAAGATGGCTGTGTATAATATCAATTTTCACATCCATGGGTAAGCTGAAGTCCAGCTTAACTGGAAGAAGGGGACATCAGGTCTCTTCCTTTTAAGGACACAGATATTACAACGGCAAACATTACTTCTGCTCTGATCTTAGTGGTCAGAGTTTATTTACGTGGCCACAACTACTTGCAAAGGAGGCTAGGAATGTAGTCTTTACCCAAGCAACAAAATACCCTGTTGAAAAGGAGCAGAGAGCCAGGCACGGTGGTGCTTGCCTTCAATTCCAGCTACTCAGAAGGTTGAGGCAGAAGGTTTGAAAGTGCAAGGCCAGCTGGGCCACTTAGCCTGTCTCCAAACAAAATAAAAAGGCTTGGGGTTGTAACTCAGTGGTAGAGTGTTTTCCTAGCATGTGCCAGGATCTGGGTTCGATCACTAGTACCACCACCACCATCATGAATATACATATATATATATGAAGGCAGTGCCATGCTTTGTCTTTTCATTGAGGTATAATATATATTTGTTAGTCTTAATTTCGCCTGTTGTTGAATTTTTACATATGTATGCATGTGTGTTACCCAGTCCAGACTAAAATGTTTTCTCAGACTAAATGTCATCCCAGAAGGCTCCCTTGTCCTCCTTCAACCTTGATCTCCACCACTACCTCTTTCCAAATATAACAGTCCTGACTTGCTTTAGTTTTGCTTAAACTTGACACAGTGGGATCCTACTCTTGGTTGACTTCTTTCACTCAACAAAATGTAATTGGTGTTCTTCCATGACATTATATATACTGGTGGTTTGTTCTTTTGTTAAAAATTGCTACCTATGTAGTATTTTATTTACTTTTAGTTTATTATATAATGATTTGAAACAATTGCTAAAAAGATGACCGGGTTTCCCACAAATAACAAAAGAGTTATTTTGCTAGAAAATGATTAGACACAGTATTTTGTAAAACATGGTAGAGTTGCAACCATAGAGGGAGAGTTTAAAACCTAAAATATTTGTAATCTTTTAGGTGTATCAAGCCAAATGATAAAAAAGCAGCACACATCTTCAATGAGAGTCTAGTGTGTCATCAGATCAGGTACCTGGGTCTTTTGGAGAATGTCCGAGTGAGGCGGGCAGGCTATGCCTTCAGGCAGGCCTATGAACCTTGCCTAGAAAGATACAAAATGCTTTGTAAACAAACATGGCCTCATTGGAAAGGACCAGCAAGGTAAGAAGTTTATTGACCATATGGAATAATGAATCTTTAAAGTATACAAATAACATTGGTTTTTTTTTTTTTTCCACATATGCTATTAAGCAAAACAGAATTGTATAAAAACTTGGTTTGTAGACTTTCATTAGAATACCATTTTGGCTAATTCTCATAGAGTCTCAGTTTTCCTTAGATCAAAACAGGACCTTCCAAATCCACATTCGGAACTCACATGTTGATAAATTTTTAAAATATGCCTGTGGTTAATTTGTAAGAGGCAATTTATACTTGGCATGTATGCTTGTATAAAATCATAAAAGGGTAGAGTTAGAGGCACTGAGGATCAGCACTCTCATCTTTTTGCTTTTCACATGTGGAATTTAACTCCAGAGAGAGTTGGTGGGTGGGGTATAGTTTCCACTCTTTGCCCGTTTCTGCCCCAGTTGAGAAGTAGATGCCAGGAGCAGATAAAATTCAGCTTCCGTGTTATTGCTAGTCCAGCTGGATTAGAGAGCACGGCTTGGTCCTTGGACTGTATGGCTTTCAGCTGGATTGTTATGAATTTTGCTCACATTCCAGTCCCAGACAGGGTTCTGGAGACTGCAAGTCCAGCCCTCTGAGCATCTCCATCACCCAACAGCTTCCCACACACAGAGAGAATTTGTGCACTGGTGGACAGCTGCTGCAGGAGAAAAATCAGGCCTCGCCTCTGAAGTGGCCTTTTTTCTGCTGTCACCAATCAGAGAATGTCCCTTTCCCTGAATAATTTAGGAGGCCTTATACCTGCTTTATGGACAAGGACAGCACTTGGGTTTTTATTTCACTAACTGATGTTGTCTCCACATTCTCTGTGGACCTGGCCTTTCACAGGAACATCAAGAGCAATTAAGACACACACCCTATGTTATAAGAAAATGGAAAAAATCCAGATGTGGTGTTGTCTCTGATACCTAATTCAGTATCCAAATAATGTAGAATCTGGGTAATATTTCAGTTCCCACTGCTGATTTCTTGGGTATTATAGTAAACAAGTGTCAGAATAGTGTCCCTGTCTGGTACCTAGTATACAGGTTGGGAAAGTGAGGTAAGTTTTGAAAACTGAAGTTGAAACCATGGTACAGTCCTTGATCCACCATGTAAGGCTCGTGTTCTTTAGCATCCATTGGCCTGGCTCTGAGCACTATCCCTTGGGCCTCTGGGGGCAGCCACAATGTTTAAAATGTCTCAGGAATCAATTGAGTAGAATCACTATGGATCTGAGTTTCTTGCACAGCCTCTTGGCCCTGGTTGATAACAACAATATGTGTCTATTTGATACAAGTATTATCTGAATGAAGTCAAGAAATTGGCTTTCATACCACTTTTTCTTAGGATGCATAGTTTTGAACACAAATTTACTTTTTTAGTATTTAGTAGAGTTGGTTTAAGTTGTGGAATTTAGTCTTGAACATTCAGGAAACAAAGAAACAAAGCTAAGAACCTGATATCATGACATAAGCTAAAACTATTTATTGTAATAAAAGTTTTTGGTTTTTTTTTTTCCTTAGGTCTGGTGTGGAGGTTCTGTTTAATGAGTTAGAGATTCCTGTAGAAGAATATTCCTTTGGTAGATCAAAGATATTCATCCGAAACCCAAGAACAGTATGTAATCAAAACCTTTATGCTCTGAACTTTAGAGTCTCATAGGCAAGTTTTTAAAGAATAGTTAACTTCATGACATTACCTGAGATGCTACCATGAGTGCTTCACTCCTATGTTTATCTGTGCATGTCCAAGAAATTGTGCAAGTAAGGGTAGTGGAGAATGTGTGCGTTATGTAGGACACATCAAATCTTCAATCCAAAAGATTGTGCCCCACTTAAGAAACCATAAAGAAACTGTCACAACCAGATGAAACCTTCCTGATTCACATCAAATAGAAGTAAAACCAGTCTTTGTTACTAGAAACTATAACTCTATTTTTAGAGATATACAAAGACAAGATTGAAAATTTTTAAAACTTAAAAGAACATTTCTAAATTTCTACCATATAGAACTCCAAGGGAGCTTTTTCATAAATGGATTGGAGTATGTTCAATTAGCGTGACAGTTGATTTGATAATTTGGAAATTTGGAGTACTTGAAGAATGTTTAAATTGTTGAGGAGAGAAAATTTGGCACCATTCACTTCTTATCACAGATAGAGTGTCTCTTATCCAAAAGACTGGGTTTAGGTCTTGGATTTTTTTTTTTAATATTTGAATTGATTTTACTGGCTAAAATTCCTAATCTGAATATCTGAAACCGAAGTGCCCCAAAATCCAGAACTTTTGAGCATCAACATTGATATTCAAAAGGTTTCAGATTTGGAACCATTTCAAATTTGGGATTGTGGATGTTCAATCTAAACTAGTTTGGGTCCTCGTAGTGTAAAGGTCAACAAACTCAGTTCAACTTCTCTCTGATTTGTCATAAATGCTGATCACTGGAATACAAACTGCATCTGTCATGAATCCATTCAAATATTTTTCTTGTGAGCTGTGATCCATATCCTGTGTAATTAACGTAGTTGATTTCAGTTTGCCATTTTACCTTCTGAGAATTACTGTCATGTATGCCATGAGGTTTTGGAGGATTTTTGTAAGTCCACCTATAATTTCTTCATTAGTTATTCAAATTAGAAGATCTGAGGAAGCAGCGGCTGGAAGACTTGGCCACTCTCATTCAGAAGATTTATCGGGGCTGGAAATGCCGCACACACTTCCTGCTAATGAAGAAAAGTCAAATTGTGATTGCCGCCTGGTACAGGAGATATGCGGTGAGTCTCAGTCAATTGTAATCTGAAATAGAGATTCTAATTTGCCAACAGTTGTCGTGTTCTTACTATGTATGTAGTTTTTACATATTTAATTCTCTCAACAACCTTTTAAGATGGATGTTCTTAAGATGCCTTTTTTGGGCCTGAGAAAACTAAAGCATTGAGGTGTGAAGTAACTTCCCCATGGCCACATATGGCTGCAAATGGCAGAATGGGGAGCTGAGTCCAAGGAGGTTTCCAAGCTTGACAATACCAACTTATACATAGCAAGAAATTTACCTTGTTAGTTTGGACTTAAGATTGGGTAAGACAATGTCATCAACCTTTTCACTCAGGTTGGGTCAGTTTTTCAAAATGACTGACTCTTCTGTATTTATTGTAGCAGCATTAAGATGGCCTGATTTCCAGAAAGCCAAAGCTGTGTTTTGGTAGAGTTCTGTTTTTTCTTCAGTCTTCATATATCTGACCCTATTAACTCTGGGGAAAGATTCAATAATAAAGTATGTTTACTGGATTCATATGGAATTTCTTTTTGGAACTTTCTTTCTCACTTTTTTTATAGACGTTTGTTGGAGGCACAACTCAGATTTGAAAGAAGCCTGAGGTTACCCGTAGGCTAGATTGAAATTGAGTTGTATTCTTGAAAAATGAATTTTAGTGATAAGAACACCTCTTCCAAGTGTTTTTTATTGTTCTTTACTACAGAGTTAGTGGGAAAGTGATTAAATTTGGAATCAAATCTCAGCTTATTCTTTTTTTTTTTTTCAGTGACAGAGAGATTTTACTATAAGGCTTTTTTTTTATGGTTACTTATTCTTGTGTAATACGTTTTAGTGTATTATTTCCAAGGTTTGGAAATTAGTGAGGTACTTAAATGATTAAACCAAAGAAAATGTGCTTGGTCTTTAAGTATCTTTAAAATTGCTTACCCTTGTTAAAACACACAACCAACTGGGGGCACAGTGGCACACACCTGTAATCCCAGCTACTTGAGAGACTGAGGCAAGACAATGTCAAGGTCAAGGCCAGCCTGAGTAACTTAATGAGACTCTGCCTAATGATAAAATAAAAGTCTCACCAGCTGCCCACACTGACGAGATGAGCTGGGTTCAAAAGAGCTGGCTGCAACATTAAGTTAAGAAAACGGCGAGAATTCATGCACCCCAGAAGTAGTTTTCATGTTGAGGGTAGGATGGCTCTGCAGCCTTAAGGGTCAGCTTCCACACTGGACAGTGCTGGAAAGGGAGAGTGTACACCCGGAATCTGTTTTATAGGGGGGACTCACAAAAGAGATTCTTCAAGTCTTTGAAGGCAAGAATGAAATCAGGCTCACCTTTACTTCATGGTTTTGTTCTAATGGGGGCTGCATATATAAATGTTCAATCAGTTGATACGGGTGTACAGAAATTTTTACCCGATTTCCTGTCTGGAAGCAGGGTGAAAACAACAAACTTATAAGGAAACTAGGGAGATTCAAGGTGGGCCCAATAAGTTGCATGTGACAAGTGACATCAAGAAGAGAGAGCACTCAAAAGCAGATGGGTCCATCAGAATATGAGGCTCAGCCTTAGAACAGTGTAGAATAGGTGTTGACAGGGGTGGCTCCTAAGCCATTTGGAAGTTATTTTTTGGTTATCTTGATGTGTACGTTGAATTTACTGTAATAATTTTAGACTTTTTTATTTTGGTTCTTGACATGTTTGCTTACTGAAGAAGTGTGAATGATATAGGGTCCTTTGTACTAAGTGAGCGAATATCCTTTCTCAGCCTTGCAGTGTCCGGATCACAGATATATATATAAATACAGCTGCTAATATCTTCCTCTTTTATCCTACAGCAACAAAAGAGGTATCAGCAGATAAAGAGTTCTGCCTTGGTAATTCAGTCATATATCCGGGGTTGGAAGGTGAGTCTAAAAGAAGTATGCTTTGTTTATTTGGGGGTTTTGGGTTCTTCCCAGGATGATGTATTTAGGCTTACCCTGCAGGGGACGACTCCTCTGCCTCCTGCCTACCCAGTAAACAATCCAATGGGAAGAATAAATATTATGGGCCAAGTGGGGGGCCCTGATGGCCATGTCTTGGCTGCTTCCTTCTAACCAGCTTTCTTTTTGAGAGCTTTGTTCTCCAAGCAGGAAGTTCTTGAAACAATACTGGACATGATCTCAGTATTCCCTTACCCCAGGCTTTTGACGGAAGCTGTGGTCCAGAAAGGTCTTACAGCCATTGCTTCCATGCTTGTGACGAGTCCTGTGCGATTTCAGCACCCCTAGCCTAGCAATTTCCATATGACCATCTTGCAGATTGCCCTGTCATGACTAAAAGATCCTGCACTCTGGCCATGTCTAGTGGAGAGAGGGTGACAAGGAGTGGTCCCTGTTGAGTAACCTGGTTCCAGTCCTTCCTCCATAGCTTAGTTCAGGGTTCAATGAACTGTGTCTCTCATGCCCCATATCTAACCTGTGGCCTGTTTTGATACGACTAGCAAGCCAAGAATGGCTTTCATATTTTAAACTGTTGTTAAGAAAAAGCAAAAGAGGTGATTTCATGACATGTAAAATTTAATAAAAAATATAGCTTTGAATGCCATGAAGATTTGTTGGGACATAGTCACATTCATTCATTGCACAGACCATCCAGCTGCTTTTGTTTAGCACTACAGCGGCAGTCAGGTGGTTGTGTTACAGGTTATCTGACCTATAAAACCAAAAATATTTACCATCTTGCCCAGTACAGAAAAAGTCTGTGAACTTCTTGCTCGGAGCCTGTGCTGTTGGGAGATTTTATGGAGTAGTCTGGATCTAGACAGGATACTTTGAGGCTCCGGGTGTGTCCAGGCTTTGGGCTTCTTCAGAGAGTATACCCTAGGCCAGGAGTCCAGCAGCATTGGTGGACATTTGTCTAAACTGACCACGGAGGCCCTGGTTGTCCCACAGAAAAAATGTCAAAATGCAGACCTGAGCACACAGAGTAAGTGACTGCTGCCTGCTGGGTCTTCCCTAACCTCATTACTGGACCTTCGGACTCAGTCTGCAGGCTAGAAACTGCAGAGGCAGGACCTGGAGTCCACCTACAATCCAGATACTTCCCTGGCTTCCATAAAATCTGTTCCCAGCCATTACTGAAAAGAAGCCACCAGTTTGGGATCCTTGTGGTCAATGTTATTAGCAAATTTTAAAAACTTCTTTTAAATAAAAAGAATAGCTACACCTATATTCGAGACAGGTCATGATCAAAGAGGTACTATCTCTAAAGTTCCCCTGACCACATTCTGAGAACTCTCCTCTCCTCTGATGTGTGTCAGCTGGCATCGCTGTGGTTAGATTTTTCCTGTTGCCTCTCAGGCCAGGAGGCTGCTGTTCTCATCCTGTGCTGGGGGTGGGGTGGGGGCGTGGAACTGCCCTGTCAGGCTCAATGCTGTCGTTCTTGACCATCTCAGACTGTTCTGGGCTTCTCTTTCTTTAAGATGTTGATGTTTCACTGGGTTATGGGTGTTAGGACTTTCATCTCTTCTAGACTTTTCTCTTGGTTACTATGAATTTTTTTCTTTTTATTTTAACATTCCCTTATTTGAGTCATTCTGTATCCTAGGCTCGAAAAATCCTACGGGAACTGAAACATCAGAAACGCTGTAAGGAGGCAGCCACAACCATTGCCGCCTACTGGCATGGGACGCAGGTAGGCCAGAGGCCCAGAGGAAAGCCAGGAGTGACGTGCACAGAGCCATGGACCCTCAGCTTCAATGGGGCAGAACATGTTTCACTGGCTTAAGCTACTGAGCACGCGTTTGCCTCTCACTCTTGCCAACATTTTGGTGTGGGGTGGTGGCACATGCTTCTGCATTTACCGTTGGTGGTGACTGGTGTGTCTCTCTTTTTCTTTCTCCATTGGGGAGCAGCAGTAACCTTTCCTGCCTTAAACTTTTCTGTAACTCCTTTTCAAATGCATCACAGGCGCGAAGGGAACTGAGACGGCTGAAGGAGGAGGCTAGGAATAAACATGCTATTGCAGTTATTTGGGCTTACTGGCTTGGATCTAAGGTACTTGGTGCTCGCGTTCCCATTACTCCATTCTGGAATTCTGCAGTAATCAATCTTTATCTCTAGCATAGAGGGGATGAATGATTATAATCAGTAGTGACTCAGCCTGGTGCATGTCCTAGCAGCCA